GCCAACCCGCTTACCGAGTCGTCCTCCACCCACCCACCCACCACCAACCCCTCCATCCCTCAACTCCTCCATACGCCCAACCACCCCCACCCCTCCATTCCTCAGCCCCCAATCCATCCAACCCTGCTCACCATCCATCCACCATCAACCCCTCCAGCCATCCAACCACCTCTTCATCCACTCACCCACTCATCCATCCACTCATCCATCCGTCCTCAAGCTCTCCATCCCTCAACCCTCCAACCAACCATCCCTCAACCCTCCATCCATCCATCCAAGCCTTCCATCCCTCAACCCTCCATCCATCCAACCACCTCTTCATCCACTCATCCACCCATCCGTCCTCAAGCTCTCCATCCCTCAACCCTCCAACCAACCATCCCTCAACCCTCCATCCATCCATCCATCCAAGCCTTCCATCCCTCAACCCTCCATCCATCCATCCAAGCCTTCCATCCCTCAACCCTCCATCCATCCATCCAAGCCTTCCATCCCTCAACCCTCCATCCATCCAACCACCTCTTCATCCACTCATCCACCCATCCGTCCTCAAGCTCTCCATCCCTCAACCCTCCAACCAACCAACCATCCCTCAACCCTCCATCCATCCATCACCAAGCCCTCTATCCCTCAACCCTCCCTCCATCCATCCATCCACCATCAAGCCCTCCATGCCTCAACCCTCCATCCATCCATCCATCCACCAAGCCCTCCATCCCTCAACCCTCCAACCAACCATCCATCCATCCCTCAACCCTCCATCCATCCACCCATCCATCCACCCACCATCAAGCCCTCCATCCCTCAGCCCTCCCTCCATCCCTCAACTCTTCCACCCATCCAACCACCTCTCCATCCATCCATCCGCTCCCTCTCCCCGGCGCAGGCAGACGGGGATGGGCCTGGGGGGCACCATGGCCCGCGTGGGGGGGATGGTAGCCCCGCTGGTGCGCATGGCGGCTGACGTCACCCCGGCGCTGCCCCTCGTCATCTATGGGGCCGCCCCCATCATCTCGGCCATCGCCACCTGCTTCCTGCCCGAGACCCGCAACGTGCCCCTGCCCGAGACCGTCAAGGACGTCGAGAGACGGTGAGGGGCCGCCCCGTGCGGTGGCCTTGGCCCCCTTTTTCTCCCCGACCCTCGTGGGGTGGACACAAGGTGGGGGATGTCCCCATATTAGGGCACGATCCCTTTCTGGGAGGAACCCAGGAGGTTTTGGGGTGGGAAGGGTTGAAGGTCTTGGGGTGGGGAGGACCAAGGGTTTTGGGGAGGGGGAGGTGAAGGTTTCGAGGTGGGAAGAGCTGAAGGTTTTGGGGTTGGGGACAAGCGTTTTGGGGTGGGAAGAGCCAACGGTCTCGGGGTGAGACCCCAAAGGTTTTGGGGTGAGAAGAGCCAAAATTTTGGGGTCAGGAAGGGATAAAGGTTGTGGGTTGGGGACAAGGACTGTGGGGTTGGGAAGGGTTGAAGGCTTTGGGGCGAGGAGGGATGAAGGTTTTGGGGGAGAACTGGAGGATTTGGGGGAGAACTGAAGGTTTTGGGGGAGAACTGAAGGTTTTGGGGCGAGGAGGGATGAAGGTTTTGGGGTTTCTCTTCACAGAGCGGGTCACCTCAAGGAGGAGGAGGTCACTGTCCCCCTGAGTGCCACCAAGGCCAAGGCCGGCGTCTGAGGGGGGAAGAGGGCGGGCATCGGGGACCCCCGGGTCTCATTGGGCCAGTGGGGACGGGACCCCCGGGGATGACACGTCCCCCCACCCCACGCTCTACACCCCCCACCCGG